AAGCACCTTTAAATTTAACGAAGAAGAAAAATTGATTTTTTTTCTCAAAATGTTTATTCTGTGTGTATAAACGCGATAAATGACGATCTGCCTTCGTCACGGTCATTTGCGGGTCAATGTGTTTGTTGTCTCATTCAAGTAAAGAACCGGTTCTTACTGTTTACGGAGACAGCCTATCTTCTGGTTGAGCGAAACTAATGTGTTTGCTACGATATCTATTTCTTGAAATTTGAGAATAAAATATAGTATCATTTGTTAAAAGTCTTGGACTAGGGAAAAAATGAGAAAAAAGTCAATGCAGCAACAACAACAACAAAAAATGACCAGAATTTTTTATGCATATGGGAAGATTTGAGTTTGCTTCAAAAAAAAGGGGGGTGGGTGGGTGGGTTGTTAGAGGTGGGTGCAATTAGACATTCAGTGAACATATTCATTCTATATCAATCAATTACCAGTGAAACATTATGTATTGAACCCCCCCCCCCCTACAACATGCCTGCATTTAATTACTAGTAAATAATGCGTCATTATTTATAAAAACCCCAAAACATAATACGAGGAAATTAAATCTTAAAGATTGAATACAGATTTATATCCCTATAATATTGCATCTGATTATTATTTTAATTTCATTCAAAGATGCAATGTTTATCTGAATTAAAGATTACGAAAATAAATAAATTTTTCTGTAGGAAGGTTTGCAATAAGTTCCGTTTAATCTTTGAATTGATAAATGGGAAGAATGATTTTATTTTTTTTTAATGAATCATATTTGGCCATTTCTTAAGGCATGTACATGATGTATGTAACAACAATTTCAGAAAAAAGGGGGCTTAAAATGACAAGTTAAAAATACCCCCCCCCCCCCAAAAAAAAAAAATCAAAGAAAAAATGAATTTCGGTAGGGGGTAAATCCCTTTTCGACAAAAGAAAATTGAGCTAAAATGACAGTGCTCAGCAATGTCGGCGATTCCACCAGACGTTACTCAGTAGATATCCAATGCGTACAAATTTATCAGACCTCGGGTCAAGGGGCGTTTCACAGATACTAGTATAAAATGTCAAAATTTTACGAGCTTGAAACGACAGGTTGTTAGTGTTAGCGAAGAAAAAATTATTTCTTTTTAACTCTGAGATAAATACTTCTATCGCCGTGCAATATCGACTCATGAAATAAATCTTAGTTTGAATATTATTTAAAACATATATTCTTTTTATCAATTTTAATTACAAATCTTTATGTAGTGTTAATTGCCCTCAACACTTTTTATAGCCCTATATAAAAAAAAAATCCTTAATACATGTCATTTTATCCCTCAATTCGCTAATTGTTGCTATATACCAGTATCTAAATTGTATGTGTCCGGAGGCCCGATAAATTACTGGCCACTTCCGTTTGTGTCCCCGCATGTATTTCTTGAAAGTTAAAATTGTTGCTTTAATAAACTCGGAAACTGATTTACTCGTTACTTTGGATTTATAATATGTGATTTCGGAAAGAGTCCTAGGAATACAGCACTACTACTTCCGGCCCGCAGCCATTTCACTGCCAACATTCCCTCTTTCCCGATCATCGACATATCTTATTAAACCCAAACTAAGCGGTCATACTTCCACAAAATTTGAGAACCAGTAAATGAATGGAAGAATATGTAGGCCTAAGCTTTTGATTTTTTTTTTCAAACGAAATTTAGCGAAAAAAGGGGGGGGGGGTACATGGTGAATCAATGAGACATAAAAAAAAAATTCAAACTTCAAAATATATTCTTAACTTATAATGACTGTATAAGGATATAATGATAATACGAAAATTATATCCTTATCCTCAGTTTTTGTGAAAATTACATGTTCACTGCAAGACATACGAATATTGACCTGCTTATAAATCGGTACAGAGCAAATAGGCAGTGCAAATATTGTGACGGTTTACGCCAATATGTAGGGAATACGACCAACTTTAAAACATTGTTTGTATGCCCTCTCGCGACTCAGGACGAAAACATTGGATCGGTAGGTAGATGAGAATTTTTTCCTCAGAAAATTTTAATATCAATGCTGAATTTTCGAAATCTATTTCAGAAATGCAATTTAAAAAAATGCTTCCTGACAGTTAAAATGAGTTTTGACTCATGCCATTTTTAGCCGGTCGGAGAAGGCGATCAACCAGTTTTGACAGATGTTCTAATATGTACAATATCGGAAGAAACATACATTACAGATGTAAAAGGGGGAAGGGATTGTCTCGGAACTTGTTATTGCCTGTGTCAATATTTACCAATGCAAGATAATGAATACACATATGTTCAGTATTGTAGGTACTGTACATATTGCCCCCTCCCCCTAAACTTCATTTAATTTGTCAGAAAACCTCCTCAAACTTCATTCTTTAACTTGTCAGAAAATTTTAACTGGGTTGTGTTACTGTAGATCCCCCCCCCCTTTCCGGATCAATTTTCTGTATCCGCCCTTCAAGCTTTCTTTCATAAATTCATCTACGTCATGCAACATAAAACAACAAAAATTAAATCCCTATGATGAAAAATTATCAAACAATGAACTCTATTATTACAAGGAAGACGCGATGTTATCAGTCTTATCTTACACATTCTTTTTAAATTTTTAACAAATATTTTTCATAAACTACAAATAAATAAAATACTAGTCTGTAAAATATCTAAACACATATCTTTTATTTGTTTGTTTTTATTCAATATTAACTTTTTTCTGAATCGTATATCAGAGTAATATTCACGTCTAACATGACGTCGCGAGTATTTAAAAGAGAAAAAAAGCTTACCCGGTATTTACGGATATAAAACCATTATCTGTGTTTTACTTATGAGAAAACTTACATAAAGAATTTTTTATTGGATTTTTTAAATCATGTGTGTTACATTTGGTCAAAATGGACATTTGTGACATGCAAAAATGTCGACACTCTGATACAGAGTCCAAAACACCTCCTCTTTATAAAATTAAACTAATATTGAAACGGTTTCGACACTTACTATATTATTTACTTTAACGAAAACAACTACATGTACATGTATATTAAATATTGCATGTAAAATAAAGGCAGGGGATTTATGCATAAATTTTTCATGTATGTTTTCGTGTGACAAAGTAAGTTTTTTTTTCAATCAAATACATATTTCAAATATTTATGAGAGTAAAATAAAAACGTCAGTTTGAACGTCATTTTCCAACGTCATTTATCAAGGTAATTTTAACATTTTCTTAACCTTTGATTCCCTATATCTCAGTAATTATTCTGAATATTTGGTATTGTATTTGGTTATTTTACACTATAATCTATCATAATCCATTGAAAAGTCAATTTTGAAAATTTTTACCTTAAGGGCCCTTTTCGCATGGGACGGCTCATTTGTCAATCAATATCTCTAAAATAAGGTAAGAAACCTAATGATTTAACTGCTTTAAGACATACTTAATTAGAAATAAACAAAATGTGAAAAAAATTAAATGACGGAATTTTTTATAGCCTAGGGTCCTTCACCTCCCTAATGCCAGTAAATTCTGTAACACCGTCCACTATTCTCCGTTGATTGTCAAATTTGCCATTTTCTCACAGCTAGTTCTTTTTTACGCAATATTTTGAGCGAGATTCGATAATAACATGCTACGTTTGACAGACGCTTTTAAAAACCACCTCAGAAGTATATAGGATCTCTTAAATAGAACATCATATGTTAGACTGTAGTGTTTGTAAACATTCACCTAACTGGTACATGTATTTGCATCCGATTAATGAGCAAAAGTTGACTTTAAAATTTTAATTCGCTGAAATTGTGTCTATTGTTACGTCATATTAATGGTCAGTCTGCTAAACACACGGGATTCTGATGTCATTTTCGGAGTTATTTCGTCATAAAAATTAAAGAGTGACGTCACAGTTAGTGTAATTTTTTCTGATCTTTCCAATGATATCGAAACAAATAATTTCCGCTAAACGGTTAATATTTTATCAAACAGTTCTCAGAACTTTTCAAATGCCCCTGGTATTTTAAATCTATAATCTCTCAAACCGACTTATTTTCAAGGTTTTAAGGGAACTATTTTGCGGAGTAAAAATTAAAATTTTAATTAAAAAATCCTTTTAAGGTGTAATAAATTAAGTAATGTTTTCCGATAAGAAAGATAATTAAAAACGATTATTAATACAACTTTTAATCATTTACAATTTTTCCAAGAATCTTGTATAACAAGCGTTGACAGAGGTGTATGTGGGAGTGTAGCGAGACCGAAACTCTGGATAGAGAATGGTCACTATCTTTGTTTAGGTCTTAGGTTGGACGCGGCAAACGAGGATTGAACCCGGGCCTTTCGATCAAGAAGCGAGCGCCCTACCAGTAGGCTACCGTGACCGGTATAATTTATGTTGGAAGAATATGTCTGTCAATAAAAAAGAGGGCTTCTGGGAATGAATGAATTTAATTGCGCAACAGTTGATAAGTATATCCTGGCGTCATGGGTTTCCGATAGTCTAACAACAACCAAGGACCGATTTGGTTCCCAGTTTTCTCAATGATTTTTAAATCGTATTATTTTTTAACCTTAAGCATTGCATTAAAAATCGCCGACAATAAATTGGCATAAAGTCGTCATCATATGCATTTTCTAGATATAAATAAAATGGATACCGTATTTGACCAATCAAAACGAGCGTCATATGTTTCCGATAGTTTGATTCGTCAATAGATTTCTTTACTAAAGTAAGGTGAACAACTGGTGCAATAATCAAAATAAAAAGCTATTTTATCGTAAAAATATGTTTAATATATTTAATCATATACACATATCTTAAATTCGCAATTATACAACTATGAATGAAATTCTACTAAATATTTACTAATATTTAGTGAAATGAAATACAATGCTAGCATAAAAATAATGCTTGGAAAATGGATGTTTCAGTGAGTTAACCATTTTCTCTAAGTGCACAATTGTTTTCAATTGCAATTATATTTTGTAGATATTATCTATTCACAGCATGGACAATTAAATGGTGTATTTTTCCTGACAACACGAACAGGTGAACAGTACTGGAGATGAACCCAGTGTCCACATGACTCACACTGAGCCCATTTGACAATAGCAATTTCATACACATTTCTTGACTTCACATAGAAATTTTTACAAACGCAACACTTCTCATTTTCACTCATCTGCGATTCATGTTCTTCCTCATCTGAGTTTAGAATATAATCATCTGAATCAGTAAGGTTGATACAAGATGGTCCAGGCTGTTGAGAGTCCGATGATGCGATACACTTCTTGTTCTTCTTTGGTTCCTGTTTATTTTTGATTGGTTTTCTCACAGTTTTTGTACTTTTAGAAGTTATGGTTTTCTCACAGTTTTTGTACTTTTAGAAGTTAATTTGTTGCATGATTTTTTTTTGGTTTTTAGCAGTATTGTTTAAATATTCTCTCATTTTCCCAAGTGTTTCATCCTCAGTTACAGCTTTCCCTCCAATTACATGACTGATATTTCTTCTCTTCTTTTTTAATTTTTCAATTTTACATTGAACTTCCCCTTTCTTTGAAAAGAAATCTTCATTATTTGATAGGTTACTATCTCCAGTACAATTTGTTTGTTTCTCTCTGCAGGCTGTGTCTGAATTTGCAGGTGTCATTTTTGATGTTGCAAGTTCATTTGGTTCAGTGGTATTTTTTTCTTCAGTTTTAATTTCAAGATTATCTCCTGTTTCATTTTGGTAGAGGATTGATGGAGTAATTTTTTGCTTTAGTTTTTCTATCATGCTATCGGCTGATTGAAAAGGATAGATGCCAGATTTTGAAAATGCTGCCTGAATATTGGTTGGTGACAAGGCAGCAGTGTAGGCTTTGCAAGCAAGAGCACATACATCATAACGGGTGACTGTTTTGTGATTCAAACGTGAAAAAGATAGACATTCCTGATTGTATTTTAGTTGAAAGGGTCCAAAGCAACCTACATCCACTGGTTGCAAAATATGTGAGCAGTGAGGAGGCAGAACAAATAGAATAACATTGTTGTTTTTAGCCCAATCTATTAGATCTAAAGAAATGTGGCTTCTGTGACCGTCATAAAGGGCAAGTATAGTCGCAGACTGATCTCGACCTTGAACATACTTTAAAAAGTGGTTTTTCATATACGAACGGAAAACTTCAGAGTTTGACCATCCGCTAGGTGTCATCGTTCCGTCAGCACCAACGAATTTCCCTCTCAAAAGTTCCGGCATCATCCACTGACCTGGAAAAACAAAGTATGGCGGGATTTGATTTCCTAGTGCATTCCCAGCACCGATAACTGTAATTGTTTTACTTTTTTCTGACATAACAGTTTGAGGATGGTATCCTTTTCCTGCAACTATATTAGGGGGCTTAAACTCGGTATTCATTCCCTTTTCATCGATGTTATATATCAAATGGGGCTTATCCTTTAAGTTATACTTATCAAGAATTGATTCAGGTTCACTGAAGTATGATCTTATTGAAGTTTCTGATGCACATCTGGCCCTTAATTCCGACAAACTTGATGGTTTAACAACTCTTAATTCTGGCCATCTGCCCATAAAACTGTAGAACCATTGCATGCTTAAGCATTTTTCTTCCATCCGTTTCTTTCCAAGATGAATGGCATAATCTGTTGCCATGGTGAGTACTTCTGTCCTTGTATAACCATATCCAACAGAAGCTAATTCTTTCAAATGGTTTACAAGTTTGGCCTCCTCAAACTGAGACAGAAGTGGCTCTGGACCAGTTTTTGTACAATCAATGTTAACCCTATTGTCAACACGGTCTCTAAGAGTAGTTAAGGGAACAGCATGTTCCTTAGCTGCCCTATATACAGGGACTCCATCTTGTTTCACTGACTGATATGCCCTGACAAGTGCAGATGGGGAATAACAACGTTTTCTTTTATTTGATACTGCCTAAAGTATTACAAAAAAGTGACGTTATTTACGCAAATCATCTAATTTTATGACGGTTTTAGGCTTCCATACATAGAAAAACTAATAGAGTCACATGATTAATTTCAATACCAAAATACCTCACCGGAAGTGTATTTTATCAGATGATGAGCGTCTTTAGATACAGTGCGAATTAAAAGGGTTTTCAGACTATTTTGATGACCACAATTTTTGGTAATAAGAAAAATGAGTATTTTTACCACTGATTGCATTATTTTTATGATATTTACCTTTGCACGCAGCATATTATCGATCTTTTGCATATATTGATGTTGCGAGATTCCCTACGTCAGGTGTCCTTAGTAATTACAAATATGACGTCATTTTAGGGAAAACTCACGCGACGAAAATAGACTATCGGAAACATATGACTATCGGAAACATATGACGGCACGATACTGGTATTTTGTTTGCAATAATTTAAAGAATATTTTAAACTTCGGTCATTCTCCTATTTTCTTCTGTAAACACAAAAGAAATCAAGCCAAAACGGCCAGGGCGTCTGGATTGATTGATATGGCAGAAGTTAGCTACAGTTCATTTGTAAATTACTTGTCTTGAAGATGAATCTTGATTTCGCTTGAATATTCTGCAATACATCCAGTATTAATCAAACATGGTGTTTTGATTAGGTCGAAAGCATTCCCACTTCGCCAGAACCACCCTCCTTCTTTTGAAGGCACTACTGCAGCAAAAGGAACACAAGCCAAAAAGGCCAGGGCGTTTGGATTGATTGACATGGGAGAAGTAAGCTACATTTCAATTGTAAATTAACGTGTCTTGAAGATGAATCTTTTGATTTAGCTTGAATATTCTGCGATACCTTCAATTTCTTAATCAAACATGGTGTTTTGATTAGGTCGAAAGCATTCCCACTTCGCCAGAACCAACCTCCTTCTTTGAAGGCACTACTGCAGAAAAAAGGAACACAAGCCAAAAAGGCCAGGGCGTCTGGATTGATTGATATGGCAGAAGTAAGCTACATTTCAATTGTAAAATACTTGTCTTGAAGATGAATCTTTGATTTAGCTTGAATATTCTGCAATACATTTAGTTTCTTAATGAAACACGGTGTTTTAAAACGATTAGGTCGAAAGCATTCCCACTTCGCCAGAACCACCCTCCTTCTTTGAAGGCACTACTGCAGCAAAAGGAACACAAGCCAAAAAGGCCAAGGCGTCTGGATTGATTGACATGGCAGAAGTAAGCTACATTTCAATTGTAAATTAACGTGTCTTGAAGATGAATCTTTTGATTTAGCTTGAATATTCTGCGATACCTTCAGTTTCTTAATCAAACATGGTGTTTTGGTTTGTTCGAAAGCATTCCCACTTCGCCAGAACCACCCTCCTTCTTTGAAGGCACTACTGAAGCAAAGGGAACACAAGCCAAAAAGGCCAGGGCGTCTGGATTGATTGATATGGCAGAAGTAAGCTACATTTCAATTGTAAATCACTCGTCTTGAAGATGAATCTTGATTTAGCTTGAATATTCTGCAATACCTTCAGTTTCTTAATCAAACATGGTGTTTTGATTAGGTCGAAAGCATTCCCACTTCGCCAGAACCACCCTCCTTCTTTGAAGGCACTACTGCAGCAAAAGGAACACAAGCCAAAAAGGCTTTACAAGTTGGATCACACATAGAGGTGACACATGGGAAAGAAATTTTGAAAGCTGTTGTAAGTACATTTGAACACATAATTTTTGAAGTTCTAATTTTCATATAAATGTACTTGGTTTCTATTTTTATTAATCATGATAATTATTTGTTCTAATGTATGTATTAATACATGTCTCAACATGCTCAAAGTGGAAATACATTTAACTATTTGTTTTGGTTTTTACCATACTAAGGATTTTTTTTCTGATTGTTCGTCTGTCTACAAACCCAATGGGTTATTGGGTTCGTTTTTTTTTCCGTAAGGCTTCAAAGGGGGTTTATGGACTTGAGGAGAAAGAATTCTTCATTGTGTAAGAAGACATTTCTAACAGCATTCATGACCCTACTCTAGAGGCCTTAGGGTCACGACTGTTTTATGTTTTAATAGAGTTAAAGTTATCATAGTTAGTCTTTTTATTTTTCATCTGTATGTATATACACAAACATGCATGTTCATAAACATCATAATAGCTTTTCTAGTGGTAAACAAAATATTCTCATTGATTTTTAGCTCTACTGGTCAGAGACCAAGAAGAGCTTACTGCCTGACGCCACGTGCGTTAGGCAGCATAAGGATTAATGTTTTCATGATCCGAAACTAAGCGATCATTCTTAATCAACTAGATTTTGTGCAAGCTGATTTACATCGGAATTTGTTACCTGCATTTAAACAAACACAGTTTGCAGAAGAAAGAATCATATTACTAATGCAAAATAATGATGTGTTTAATTCCTTTAGTTTTTTTTTCTTTTTTTTTATGCATGCATATGTTTATTCTTTGCGGTTCTTTGAACGGACATGTCCGTGTAACATTTTTTCTGCGTTTCTAAACTACTGGATCAGTCCATTTGCCTTCTACGAAAGGGGTGACACAATCATTTCGCGCCAAATGTCACATGTAAATTATCTTCGCGCCTTTTTCTTGGATTGTTCTATTGAATGGGTGTGAGAACTTCAATGGAAATAAATAAAGTTCAATCTTTTAACCTGATTCTTAAGCTTCAGATTTTTTATTAAGAGTAAATTTGTACTGGTTTTCATTTCATAAAAAGCACGTTATTATAAATTATGAGAAAGGTTCTAAGATCGATTGAAAAGAAAAACTAATCAATTTTAAAACTGTACATAAGGATGTATTTTAAACTCATTTATAATACATGTATATGGTAAGACCATCATCTCGTGAGTTTTGTCCGGAAGTGGGGGGGGGGGGTGTTATTGGTATCTTGTTTTGCTCTAGCTATAAAGTGTACAGGCCATTTACTTTGAGTTCTAGAACAGCATTGAAGCATTTTTGTCTCAAACACTTCAAACAAGTTTCCCAGTTAAAAGTGTTCATAATTTACTTCGTCTTTGAGAACGACGAAAAAATGACCAGTCTACAAATAGAGGCCGTCTCATCAATCTATCACTGATGAGAGTGTGAATGAAGAAGCGCACCCTCTGGCAAGAGAGTACATGTAATATGAATTTTTTTAAAACGAATCATCTAACTATTTTTCCCAGACTTATAATCTACGCTAGCCCACTGGCAGTTTCATCCCAACGTAACTAGTCAGCCCGTGGGCTAACTAATAAATAACCAAATGGTGGCATGTCTTAGAGATTCGTTAATCTGTAGTTTTGAGAAAGTCAATTGTACATCTTGTGTAATGAAGTATCGCAAGTATGTCGCTCCTCGTTTAGCACCTCTTTTGCTTATACGTTCCATAGAAAATGATTAATTAGTCAGGCAAGCTTTTTGAAAAGCTATTACTTGTGCAAAAGTAAGATTCAGTCGTCCGTATGTCTAGCTATTTATTTGTATGTTTGCCTGTAAACAACTTCTAAAAATACTACTCTTCTTACAGTTTTGCACTGGTTTCGTTATATCTTGACACACAAGTAGACTACGCCAATGTACACTAAAATACATAATTCTATATCTCTGTTTTTGAGTTCCATGAGCAGTTTTGGTCTGATTTCAATATAACTTGGCACACAAGTGATACTTTTCTCATACTTTTGTTAAAAGTACAAACCAATAGACCTACAGTCTCTTCAGAGAATTCTGGTAAATATTTTTACAGATGTAGATCTATATTTCCGTGCATCCATCATGTCCATTTTCACTGTAACAATAACCATGATAAAAATGGAGGGATACCATTATCATGATTATGTTCCATGCATAATAATTAACACAGAACTTCTTTTAGTTTGAATGTTCATAACAAAAGACTGGGTGAGACTGAAATTCATCATTTTTAAAAATAATTGATCTTTTTAGTAATGACTAAAAAATTCATCATTTTCTAGAATAATGTTGAAAAACAGTCATAAATGTTTGGAGTTTAGAGTTATTTCTGAAAATAAATATGACCATATTTCATCAGTTTTTTAATCAAATTAGTAGGTCTAGGTGTACTGCATTATCAAATTTGTTTTACAGGGGGTGCACTTTTCACTGTCAAGATTTTTCTCTACACATGGGTCCATCTTATTATTGTAGTAAATAGATTGAAGAAATAACATTGGAATGGAAATATGATGAAAACAAGTCATTACCAAAAATAATGAAAATATGTACATTATATAGTTAGTATAAATGACAATAATCAATTATTTTTTAATATGGTGGATTTCAGTCACACCCCGGACTTGAAGTTATGATGATTTTTTATATGTTATGATGATGTTATGACATGTTAACATTGTGAACATTACGAGATTCTCATTATGAGACATTATTCACAATTGACCAATCATACATCATTTTTGTTAGTTATACAGCTGTTAAAACATGATAAAGCTTTGCATTCATTCATGTAAGCATGAACATCACATTTGTTTTTAATATTAAAGGTATTGTTTTCAATTTAGTTTGTATTTGATCTTGTCAAACATTAAAACAAATCATTTTGTGCTTGAGAAGCAATATAATCATGGTTGTAGGAGCTGGGGGGGGGGACCCTCCCCCCAATAATTTTGCCGATATATAGAATACTATAGAAAACTTAGCTACTATATGCTTGTGCCCAATTTATTTTTTACTTGTCAAGGAATTTTGGTAGTTGAAAGTCTCCGCCAAAAAACTGAAATTGCTTCCTACTGGCCTGATAATGATTATCAGTATTATATATAATCAGCAAATGATCATCAGTATCCATGGTATTCTCTTATTTTGGGTGATAAATAGTTTAGTGAGGATGGAACTTGATAAAGAGAGACATCTCTATAAACCCTGAATTTTTTCTTTGTTCCTTTAAAAATGATGGAGTCGCCCGCGTGGCGCAGTGGTTAGAGCGTCTGCTCTAGAGTCGCGAAGTAAGGAGTTGATCCTTACGTCGCGGGTTCGAATCCCACTGTGGGACGTGGAGACCGGTCCTTCGGATGAGACCGTATAAACTGAGGTCCCGTGTCGCAGAAGATGCTGGCACGAAAAAGATCCGTCACTGCTCAATGGCCGTTAGTGCCGAGTACAGGACAAAATTTGCAGCTCTCCACCGGCAAGTGGTGGCGTCTCCATATGAGTGAAAAGTTCTAGAGAGGGACGTAAAACAACATACATTCAATCAATCAATCTAAAGAGGTTTTAAGAATAG